TGATTTTTACTGTTTCTACACTGATTCATGATCATTGAATTGCTGCTGTTATAAATTGACTGATGATATGCATACTGCTTCTTTACCATGCTTTTAGTTCGGTTGTATGATTTAGTGACTTGTTGAGCTTTTTAGCTCATTATATATGATTTAAATTATTTCAGGTCAGGATAGAGAATCATGAGTGCAAGATTGATTCAGATTCTCCAGGCTTATTGTTATTTTATTTGTTTCTATTTTGTAGTTATTTTTTGTATTTAGGACTGGTTGATTTTTGTTTTTATATGTTTCCTGAGTATTGTATATGATTTTTTAGCAGTAATGAATATATATGTATATTGCTATTTTGATTATTAAACTAGTTTTGACTGATATCATTATTATCGATAAAAGATATTAAATATCTATGGTGTTGTTATATTAAAAGATAAAATAAAATAATTCTTCCAATTTCAATTATGAGGTGTCATTAATCCCGCAAGGAAGTCATACACTATCTATCTCAATAGAGCTTTTTAGGATAGCAACATCTTATGGACACTTAGCCTCTATACATTTGTAGTGATCAAGTTATTGCTACGAGTCTTGAAGGAAAGTGGCATATTCAGTCAGGGTCTTGCTTCATTGTTTTGTGCTTCCCACCTTGACCTTAATTTTGAAGACTTGAGCAGCATCTCGAGCTTTTGAGAAGATTTGCCTGGCTGCATCCCATGTGTCCTTGCGGTAGATAAGAATATAAAAGTATCACTAATTTTTGGAGTCATAAAACTCCACAACCATAGCATAATAATGGAGTCTGCTTTATCCCATGCCTAAAATTAGGATCTCATTCTTTTGGTCCTACTCCAAGAAGGTGATTCATCTTTCCTTTCCCGTTCAAGTAGGTTTTCACAAATTGAGACCACTTCAAATAATTGTTCCCATTTAAGCTATAGGAAGGTTGCTTATTTTGGAGACGCTTTTCTTCTTTGGTGCACCATTGACCTTCATTTGGTCAAAACTTTGGGAGGAATTAGTTTCAAACATTATGACGATAAAGGATAGCGATGAAGGCTTTACGAATCAAGTTAGTAAGGTATAGGACAATAATGCAGGCTGTGTTGAACAGTAGATTTAGGATTCCAATAATGACAATGAAGGCCGGTGTTGGGATAGTAGTAAAAGCGGATTAATTATCCTTCAAAATCCATGAAATCAAGAGCAGACACACGCACAAGAGGCTCTTGGGTCTGTTCGGTCCAGCTAAATCGCACACACAATTGCTCTTCAACTGTTCATTCCTTGCTCGATTCGACTCCAACACATACACGAGGGTTGGTCGTCCCTACTTAGGCACGTATGCGGACAATTCTTGCTTGCTTCCTCTTGATCTTCTTATTTACTCAATTCGGCCCCTAAGTAGCCACTCATGAGAGTGGTCTCCTGCGTCTTCTCTATCTGCATGTATAAGAATGCAAAGGGAAATCACTCTCTTGCTCAACTGCTCTAGACGCATGTGAGCAGAACTTAAGAACTGACTGTACTATCACGCTCTCGTTTTTTGCTCTTTTGGGTTTGGACGTGCGCAAGAAGAATGAAATGCCTTGCTCTAATACCATGTTAAATTTAGAGAATTGGAGAGGGAAAAGACTTAATTTTATTGCACAAAGTTATTCCTTTTTATAGATCTATATAATATATCTTAATAAGGAAGTAAATAATTATAGAATAATGCGTAATTGCCCTAATATAATCATTCCTGAATCAGCCACTCAAATCTGGAAGGAGATTAGCGTGATCCAGGTGAGTCTCCCATGAATCCCCATGCTGGCCACATGGTTTAAAAAGGCATTTGAGGTGTACGCCTCAAGGCGCATCTCGATTTGAGGTGCAGCTTAGATGCCTCGAAGCTTAAGCCTCGGTGGTTTGGCCTAGACTTACATTTTTCTTCATTGAGGCATAACGCCTTGAGGCAGTTTGAGGCGCTGCTTCGATCAATTTTATTTAATTTTTTTATTTATGAAGAGTTGAGAGTGCTTATTAGATTTAGGGATTCATCAGTTTGAAATATTTGTTCCAATCTTCGCGCCCCTTCTACAGCTTGCAGCGAAGGAAACACTCTCTTAGCTTCGTGCACACTGCTTCGGCCTCGCTTGCTTCAGCCTTGATTGGTTTAACCTCGACTACTTCGGCCTCGCTTCATGTCAGGACGAGTTCTTCGTGACGAGGTAACAATCTATCTTCCTTTTCGAGCTTGTGTAGGCTTCGACAGCTTCGTGATAAGAAATTATGAAATTTAAGACATGCATTTATTACATGAAGCATTTATTTTGATGTTAGATCAGCTTAATTTATATTTATTAAAGTTTAACAGTTTCATCTTACTCTATTGTTTTTTCTAGTTTAGGTCAAGCAAGAAGTAATCAGTTGATCACCACAAATAAAATCTTTCATAGTTTCTTAAGCACCGAGATATTAATTGTATTTTCTATAGCTTTCTTCTTTATGAATACACAATTTTTAGTTGTCAAGGCTCTTTAATTACAACGACACATTTTTTAATAAATTTTACCACAAAAATTGTCTGGCCATGGGAGCAAGGGCCCAAGGGCTGGCTGGGATTTAGCAAGGTGAGCTTCCCATGGATTCCCATGCTGGCCATTAGATTAAGGGCCAAGGGACAGCTATGATTTAATTTGCTCATTATTTGTAGTAGGGCTTGTTTGAGCAATGATTTGTTAAGTTTATCTTAGCTAGCAACCAATGCGCTATTCTCTTGGGTGTCTTATCTGTGAGACTGGGTTTTAGAAACAGCCCTTTGAGTTGATGATTATTGTTTGCTAAAATGCCCATGCTATAGGATGTATTCTAATATTTAGATTGCTCTCCTGTTTTTATTGTACAGCTTGCAGTGGAGTGTATATTTTGTTCAGCTTGCATCCGCTTTG